AGCACCGAGAACGGCCCCCTCTCCCCAAAACCACATGGAAGCACGTCCCAAACATCAGAGAGCCCCTTAAAAACGCTCGGAAGGACGTTGCAGCGCTGACGGTTGGCGTGTTGAAGGAGGAATCCGGCTCTCTAGGCCCCTGCTCGGGTTGCTCGCCGTCATATCCCCCTTCTCACCCCCAAAAGGATCAGTCTGAGCCTTCCAGCCCATGGGCGCGTGGGGCCTTTGGGGCTGAAACCCGCACGTCCCAAACATCAGAGAGCCCCTTAAAAACGCTCGGAAGGACGTTGCAGCGCTGACGGTTGGCGTGTTGAAGGAGGAATCCGGCTCTCTAGGCCCCTGCTCGGGTTGCTCGCCGTCATATCCCCCTTCTCACCCCCAAAAGGATCAGTCTGAGCCTTCCAGCCCATGGGCGCGTGGGGCCTTTGGGGCTGAAACCCGGGGAAACAGCCCTGGCTCCCTCCCAGTTCCAAGGGGTTGAGACGTTGAACGCCGAGAAGAGCTGCCCCCTTCCCGGGAAGCCCCCGGAGCCGTTCCCGAGCGGGAGCGGGAGAATCCCCGCACCAAGTGCCGCGGGACAACCCTGGTACCATAGGGGCACCCACGCACAGACGTGACCCGAGGTGATAAAACCCCTGTTGGAACTGCTGACATTTCCTGCACTGGATGATGCTGGTAGTTACAAGTCATTCTTCTTGCAGGTTTTCAGTTCTGTTATGTAATTTTAGCACCACATCAAGTGCTTTTTTTAATAGATTTTGCATCAAATGCTTCTCTGGAGTTTCACTGTGGAAGCAGCTTTCACCCCAGTAACAACGTTCCCCATCTTATGCCTGACAGGAAATTTAAGTTGATTTTAAAAAGCATCAACATCTTTTTTTTTTTCTTTTTAATCAAGTTCCTGCTCGGGGGAAACCTCACCCAGGAGCGCTCCGGATCCCACCGGAATGGCTGGAAGCGTCGTGCTTCGCGTCAGCGCTAACGGCACCAGCTCAGCCCCGGGCTCTGCTGGACGCCCCCTGCTCCATCCCACGTGCCTGGGCAGAGCGCAGCCCCCGAGCGACCTCCTCTTGGGTAACAACCAACACGTTGCTCCAGGAAAGCAGCTCCGAGTCCCCATCTCCCGCCTCATCTCTTCCCAGAAAGCCACCGGAACGCCGACTGCTTCGCAATGCTCTGCTTTTCCTCCGGGCTGAAGTGCAGAATAGTCAATATGGCAGTGAGGGTCTGTTGGCGGCCAAGGGAGTCCGGCAGCGTCAGAAACCGATAGACAATGTTCTTGAGGTACTCCAGGTTGGCCCCCTCTCTGCTCTTATCCCTGCGGTTCTTCTGGAGCTTGCCCTGCAGCGCGGACACCTCCTCGCGGTGCTTCTCCTCCTCCAGCAGCACCTTCTCCCGGAGCTGGTGCAGCTCCGTCTCCAGCCCGTGCTTCTGCTTCCTCAGCGCCGCCATCTCCACCTCCTTGCGCGCCAGCTGCTCCGCGTACCGGAAGAA